TCATTATCAGTGCATAGTCTTCCTAGTGTGTATTTCTGGGTAATGACTGATTAGTATTTGGAGCATCAGAAAAGACATTGTAGCTGCACATGGTGGTACATGACTATAATTCCAGCTCTTGGGAGGCTAAAGCAGGAGGATCGTGAGTTCGAGGGAAGGAAAAGAAGAAAGGACATCCTAACCAAAGTAGCATATAAACTTTATGAAAAGCATGAGAACCAGTGTGAAGGATAGAATTGAATGTGAACTGTGAACCCTAAAGTCACATACCACCCATTAGTTTCATTCTTGAGATTCTCTTTTCTCTTTGAATATTTAGATTGTATATAAATATATAAAGACATGATTATCCATGGGGTCCTCTGTTGACTCCTCGGATTTAACCTGCCTCAGATTGAAAATGATCAAGAAAAACATTTATATCTATGCTGATCATGTGCAGACTTCTCTCCCTTATCTGAGTAATCAGAGATGATTAAAAAATATATGGAAAGGGGTGTTACTCAGCTTTCTGTTACTGTGACAAAGTACATGAGATAATTAGGGTATAAGGAGGAAAAATTTACTTTTGTTCATGGTTTCAGACCATGGTCTGAAATCACTTTGGGCCTATAGCATTTGGTACCTGTAGTGGTTACAGTACATCATGGAGGGCAGCACATGGTAGAGCAAACTGCTCACCTTACAGCAGCAGGAAACGAGAGAGAGAGGAAGGGGCTAGAGTCTCAATATCCCCTTCAAGGGCATGTCCACAATGATCTGACTTATGTCCACTAGGTTCCACTTCTTAAACTTCCAATACCTCTCAGTAGTGCCATAAGCTGGGGACCAAATCTTCAGCACATGAGCTTTTGGAATATGAGAGGGGGGAGGGGAAGAGGGAGTTACTACATATAAAACTAAACAGTGTAATTTAATTTAGAAACCTAGGGGCTAAAACTGTATTTCTCTCTAGGCACTTGAAATCACTTTACCCTCTCCTATTGATAAAAACTGCCTAACTTGCAGTTTTTCATTGATATCTTTTACTATTTAAAAACATGTTATCATAAAGTATTGGGCCACCAATATGGGTTTAATTACCACTCAGGCAACTTGTCCTGAAGTGATTAATAAACCACAGAAATAACCATTTCCTCTTCTCTCTGTATAGCATTGGTATTTTTGGAAATTGGGCTGCCTGTGCCAAGTTTTATTTGTAGATAGAATGGGAATTATTAAATGGTCTATCAATTCACAAGAAATTTTTGTTCTTTTATTAAGAGCATACCAGATAACTAGTTCCATTTAGAGTTTTCAATAACTTCTTGTATTCTTAAGGCAGCCACACAAGTCATATAATTACTTCATATATTCAGCAGAAGTTTCTTACTAAGAAAGCCATATGAACACAGTTTCTGGTTCCTATTTTTCTTTATTTTCTCTTTCTTTCCTTCCTCCTTTCTTTTGTTTATTTTTCTGTAGTTTTTGATCTGAACATGGCTTTTAATAAATTAATGAGGGTTTTTATCAAAATGAAGACTTTTAAAGTGATTTTATTAAAGTGCAATTTATTAAATTGCAATCCTCAATAAAAGAATGATCTCAATGTCTGTCAGTAGTGGATTGATTTGATAAATTGTGATGTATTCATATTTTGAAATATTGCTTAGTTACTAAAAAATGAAAATGATCAAGGTCATATGGACCTAGTGCGAAGAACATGATTTGTACAACTTTAAATTTTTTAATGACTATATTCACTGATATATTTTAAAAACAGATCTAGGGCAACATGATTGGTAAGGATATTAAAGTTGGTCAAAGGTTAGGGAAGCAGTTAATGGGAAATCATTATTAATAGGAGAATCCAGAAGTTAACTAGTGGCATTCCAAAGGAATGAAAAGCTGGATTTTTAAGAAATAGTGTTGGTACAGTTGCCAAGCCATTTAGGAAAAAAGTAAACAAGATCATTACCTCATCCTTTTATCAAAACAACAACTACATTGATGAAAATTTTAATATTTAAAATGAAGTCATGCAAGTTCAAGGAGAAAGCATGAATATATTTTTAGTTTTGAAGTAAGCCTTAAAAATGATCCAAAACCAGAAACAATTAAAGAATATAGTTAAGTTTGCTTATGCTATTTATATTGTTTAGAGAACTGAATGAATCTTGATACTGTTTGTTCATAGATTCCAGTTTTCAGTTTTAATATGCTCTTAAAAGTTTTTTAATAGTAGGCATTGGGCCAGTGTGCACATACATTGAGCAAAAAGGCCATACTAGCAACTCTGTGTTTGTAATTGTCAGCATCTGTTCATGAACCTTTCAGGTTGATAGCATTTTACTGTATTTGAGTTTTTGCATGAGTGTGTATAAACAGTAATTTGTGTGTGTTTGTGTGTATATATGTGTGTACTTATGTATATCTGTCTGCATTTACTTTATAGAACATTTTCACATTGATCCTCCCTCCCCCCTTTCCTGGAATAGTTTCAACATGTCTCATTTTTCCATTTTCATGCGTAAGTACATAATATTTCCACTACATTCAGCCTCTTACACCCTTTCCTTATATCCTCCCTGCCTCCCACTAGTACCAACCCCCATACAGGACCTGTTTTACCTTTCTGTTCTCTGTTTTTGAAAAAAAGGCATTTTTGTTTGTTTAAGATAACTCTGCAGGGAGTTTCCTTGTGACATTTCCATGTGTATATTTATTATAACTCAAATTGTTTCATGTCCTCTACTTTTCTCCTTTCTACTTTAGGCCCCCTTCTTATGGTGATTTCAACAGGTTTAAAAATTCTATATTCATTCTTGTACAGAAAGTACAACCATATCCACCTTCTTAACTTCCGTTTTTTATTCTCCCTCTCTCAATAGTGAACTCCCCTTAGTATAACCTGTTTCTTGTAACATTGCTTGGTTTTGTATTGTGTCTTTCTTGACCACATATGACAGAAAACATTCAGCCTTTGTCTTTCTGAGCTAGGCTTATTTCACTTAACATGATGTTCTCCAATTGCACTCATTTACCTTAAACCACATGGTTTCATTCTTTCTTATGGCTGAATAAACCTCCGTGTGTGTGTGTGTGTGTGTGTGGTGTGTGTGTGTGTGTGTGTGTGTGTGTGTGTGTGTGTGTGTGTTTAATCCATTCATCTGTTGCAGAGCATTTGGGTTGTTTCCATAGCTTGCCTATTGTGAACAGTGCTGCAGTAAACATGGGTGGGCAACTGTCTTTATTGTATCTTGACTTACATTCCTTTTGGTATATTCCTAGGAATGGTATTGCTGGATCATAAGGCAGTTTTATTTTGAGGAGCCTCCATACTGTTTTCCATGGTGGTGCACTAATTTACATTCCCACCAACAGTGTATGAGGATTCCTTTTTCCCCACATCCTCACCAATATTTGTTGTTGTTTGTGTTCTTGATGATAGCCATTCTAACAGGAGTGAGTTAGAATCTTTATGTAGTTTTGATTTACATTTCCTTTGTGGCCAGGGATGTTAAGCATTTCTTCATGTGTTTTTTAGCCATTTGGACATCATCCTTTGAAAAAGCTCTGTTCAGTTCATTTGCCTGTTCCTGTGTGTGTCATTGATTTTGAGGGGGAGTTTAGTTTTTTTTAATTCCCTGTATATTCTGGTTATTAATCCCTTGTCAGATATATAGCTGGCAAAGATTTTTTTCTCCCATTCTGTGGGCTGCATCTTCAGTCTGGTGACCATTTCTTTTGTGTGCAGAAGCTTTTTACTTTCATTTAGTCCCGTTTGTCAACCCTTTCTCTTGGTTGCTAAGCCATTTGTGTTCTATTTAGAAAGTCATTGCCCATGCCTATTAGTTTCAGTGTATTCCCTGCTCTTTCCTGCACTAACTTCAAAGTTTCAGGTCTGATATTAAGGTCCTTAACCCATTTTGAGTTGATACTTGTACAGGGTGATAGGCATGCATCTAGTTTAGTATCCCAGCAGATACTCAGTTTTCCCAGCAACATTTATTGAAAAGACTGTCTTTTCTCCATCATATGTTTTGGGTGCCTTTGTAAAAAAATCAGGTGGGTGTAGATATGTGGATTCATATCTATCTGGGTCTTCTATTCTTTTCCACTGATCGTCATGTCTGTTTTTAATATCAACTGAATGAGAAAAATCAGAAAAAAAAAGTTGAGAAAGGATGTATGAAGCTGCATGATGAGGAGGGTTTTATCATCAAGAATAACTTTTTAAAAATCATTTAAAAATAATTTAGAATTTGTATTGTTGTCTCGTACTAAATGACTATAATGTGTTATTCACAGAGTCCTTGAAGGCTATGCACAAGGTTTTTGAAAAATATATATCATCTTAAAATAGTTTTATTTCCAATCCAAACCATTTGATTCTTAGAAAGTATTCATTTTATTTGGTAATATTACAAGTACAGATTTATCTTAGTATAGAATGCAAAATTCACATAAAAATTATGGTAAAATAGGAGCTATCAGAAAATGCCTGGAGGGCTTCCTCCATGAGCCCTGTTACTTCTTTGGGAGGTATCTTTAACCATTCCTCAGGTGGGAAACTGAGAAACACTACCCTGAGTAAATATGAAGAGGTGAACATAGCTAGTAAGCATCCTGGGGAGTGGGGAATAAAGAAGAGTGGTAGAAGGAGTGAATTCAAGTATGACATATTTGGTATATTGTAAGACCCTTTTGTAAATGACACAGTGTACCCCTACCTAGCACAACAATAAAATTTTTTAAAATTTTGAAATTATGGCACAGAAGGAAGTAGATTTCATAAAAGAAAAATTTTATTAGCTTAATTTAGCCCACAAAAATGAATGCTTGATTGTGTACTTTGGATTCTCACTGAATCCAGTAAATGCTTGAGCTGATAGATAATTTAGTCTTTAAAATTATAATCTAATTAAAACTAAGAGCAAAAGAAACTAATTTTAATTAAATGTACCTTGATTTCTTTCTGTGATTGTCTGTCTCTTTGTGTCTCTTTTTCCTTACTACAGGCCATAGTAATGAAAGGGAGTAATAGAAATAAAGATCATTCAGCAGAAGGAGAAGGTGCTGGGAAACGACCAAAACGAAAGTGTCTTCAGTGGCATCCATTGCTAGCAAAGAAACTTCTTGACTTTTCAGAAGAGGAGGAAGAAGAGGAGGAAGAGGAAGACATTGATAAGGTAAGTCTTCCATTCGGTATAGAAATTTTGAGTATATTTAAGCACTAATAATACTCTCGAAAATATACTGAACATGTATGGAATGAAAGGTATGTTTCTGAAAGTCTGCATAACTTGAATTGTTTAACTCCTAAATTTACATTTTTATTGATTGCTCTTAAAGTACCAATCCTCCTACTAATTTAAACTGAAAGAGTCCCTTCTGAAGAAGTATTTCTGTCAACTAATGATTGGTAAGTAATATTGAAATGCATTGAAATATAGATGTTCGTAAAACTCAATGTGTTCCCCTAATAGCCACCCTGTTGTGCTTCTGGCCTCTTTACTTCCAGCCCAACACTGCCACCATCAGCTGCCTTACGTCTATTCTCTTGGTGTTCTTTGTGGTGGCCTTTCTAATGTCAGGTTGCACTCATCCCACCAAACATCTGTGGCCACTCAGTCTTCCACCTCTCTTTTTCTTGGAACACTTCCCTCATGCGTGAGCACTTGGCTCCAGGTCTTGACATAACAAATTTCTCCTCATTATTCAAGACTCAGGGACAGAACCTAATCATCTCTGAGTATCTCTCTTACCTAACTCATTCTAAGTCATAGTTTTCCCTTCATAGCACTTATCATTAATTCCCTTGTATTTAGTTGTATACTTGTCTTCTCAGACCAGAGGACTAGCCCAATAAAAACAGAGGCCTTACCTCTCTTGCTTTTCCTCTTTTGCCAGAACGAAGATTGGTGACTGACATGTAGTAGATATTGAATAAATGTATGCTGAATGAAAGAAGACTTAAATACATATTTCATGTCACTACAAATTTTATAAATAATACGTTTTAATATTTCTCAGGCCTTTGACATCCATCCAGCCTTTTATTCCTGGGTCTTTGGTAAATTCCTACTTTCAGGTTAACAGAAATTATAAACATTCTTCCTCATTCTTAGACATGATCTCTGGATACCCTTTGAAATCTGACCTTTCTACAGAGATATTAGAGTCTACCAGAAATTACCCCTTCATTTTCTTGTATGTTTCTGTGTCTCTACATATGTTCTCTCTATATATCTTGCCTTAGTCCTCTTTTCCTGTTGAAGCAAGTTTTATTCTTCTTTGTCTTACTCTGTTTTCTGCTACTATACCAGAATATCACACACTCAGCTCCTAGATGCTAGGAAGTCCAAGATCCAGGAACCACATTTAGTGATACATCATTGCACTTTGGAGGGCATCACATCAAAAAGATGCATGCTGCTGCTTTGCTTCATGAAGACAGAGACTTGTGTGCTAACTACTCTTTCTGTATCACTTGCGCATGGCAGGTGCCTAGGAAATAGTTGTTGAGTGAAGGATTAAAGTCATTAAATCCTCTCCTGTTTTCACTTCATGTTCTGTGGTGTCATCCATACCCACAATCTCTATACCTTCTCTCACTGATATCCAGATTGTTATTCCACAGACTTGGGTGACCCCAGAGCTTACCCATTAGCCACTAAAAATGCAGCCCATCCACAATGATTTTTTTTCTGATCCTCCCTGGTATCTATTTTCTGAAATTTGAAAAAAGTATTCTCTGTAGTGTGAAGAAACTTGTCACACAAATAGAGATACTTCCTTTTTGAACTTTTAAATCAAATTAGATCCCATCCACTCTTGGTTCTATCCATCATTAATATCTCTGTTCTTACCTCTCCATTTTTATTAATACTGCCTGGATTTCAGCTGTCTCGCTCTCTCTTTTTTTTTTTTTTGGCCTGGATAGCTGGAATGAACTTTTAACTGGGTTGTCTGGTTTTTTGTTTGCTTCTAGTTTTACTATTAAAATTCATGCTTTACACTATTAACAAAAATTCTTTCTTTAAATGCAAATCTCACAATGTTTTTCCCCTGATTAAAAAACCACTCCATTGCATCCAGCTTGTAGCTACAAGTGTTGATTTCTTACAAGTTTTAATAGACCCTTGGTGAAAGAAAAATAAATCCAGATAGTTTTTCATCTTTATTTTGCTGTTTATTCATGTATTTAGCCACTTACTTTTCAGTTAACTAATTTAATGAAATAGCTATAATTAGATAGTTAAACATTTTTAGCACCTATACTTGGCAAAATAGAATATGTTTTCCGTGGGTCCATACAATCTGTAGCCACTGGTCTGTAGGATTAAATGCATGCTTTTTACCATGGCAGAGCATATTCTTCATAAAGTGGCCCATATTTTCTATAACCTTATTTCCCAAACCCTGTTTTGATCTTTCATGTTGATGTTCAAACAAACCTTCAAACCTTAATCACTGTTAGATCCCTCTATCTCCCCATTGACTACCTGACACATTCTGATCATCTTTCAGAATTTAGCTCAGACAACACCTTTTCTAGGGAGACTTTCTTGTGCTTCTTGTACTAATCATGTGTGCTTCATTACCTCATCCATTTCTTATTGCAGTCAGCACACTACTTTTTAACTTTCTTGTTTATATATATTACTCTCTTCTCAAAGCAGTGTGATACTTTTTCCAACTTTTAGTTTCAGTTTTATAATTTTGTAATGGAATCACAAGTTATTCTTTCTGAAAGAAAAATAAAAGTTCTTGACTTACGTAATATATTATCATTCCTAATTTTTCCTTAGCTACTGAGTTTTTAAATGCCAAGTAAATATTCTTTGAAAATCAGTGATTAATTAATTACATAAATTTAAAAGTCTTTTTAAAATTAGGTTAAGCAAGTGATTTGTTCTAAAGTATCTACCTATGACAGTTGCCCAGTAGAGATTCTATAAAGGAGCATGGTTGCCTGTTGTTGTAGTTCTCAAAGTGTGCTACTTAGACCAGCAACATCAACATGCCCTGGGAGCTTGTTACAAATACAAATTCTCAGGGACCCCTCCAGACCTACAGAATCCAGAAACTCTAAGAACAGAACCTAGCAATCTGTGTTTTAACGGTATTCCCAGGGATTTCAGGGCACTCAAGTTTAAGAATTTCTGCCCTTTTACACAATGTAGACTAATGGCTATCTTGATTCTTCTTGATTTTAACTTTGTAAGAAGAAATTTTAAAGTAGTTTTAGTAAGCATCTTGCACTTATGGTTACATTGTTTCCAAGAAACATCACAGAATCATATTTTAGTCTTGGAAGATGTTTTATAATCCTAATATTTTCTGGGATTTGGTAATTTTCTGGGATTGTACTTTAAGAAATTTAATCTGGCAGCCATATGGTAAAAGTGTTATAAAGAAGATTACAAAGAGTAGGTCATAGACCAAAGTGGTATTGAGAATTACACAGATTCAGAGCTTTGTAGAACTACTTGAAAACCTTAAACAAATGATTAAACAAAGTACTTAGATAAAGAGAGGATTCAAAACTGATTTTGAAGGTTTAAGTATAGAGGAATTTATTCCTATTGCCATAACATTTCACTAGACAAGACAGCTTGATATTTACAAGCTTAAAGATATACCATGTGGTTCTTCTTTCAAATAATCATGGTAAATGTTTATTGTGATATTTTACAGTAGGAGGCTCCAGTTGTGATGAGTGCAGAAACATTGGATAGTCTATACTAGCATTTTATTATCTACTTTCAATGATAAACATTTTTGTTTTACTATCTATAGGGAAGCACTTTCTAAAGAGGAGAAAGAGCTACTATTCATGGATTTTGTGTGGTTATTATTAGTCTTGAGACCCCATAAACTACAAATTAAGTTTACTCATTCATTTATCAGTCAGTTAAGTATTAATGTTGTACCAGACCATGGTTAGGCACTATGGTTATAAAGGCAGAAAAGGGACTTTTTTGTCCTCAAGAGGTTCACTGTTTAGTGAGAGAGAAAAAAATGTAAGCAATTATAACACAATGTAATATATGCTGTAATAGAGACATGCACAGGTTGCTATAGAAACTAAGCAGAATAGATCATAAGTTAGCTACCAAACTCCACTCATGGTTCTTGATTTAAAATAGTTTTTCAATTTGTTAGGTGTTCAAATGGAGCTCAAAAAAAAGTACAATTTGCAAACCAATAGTGATGGTTAAATCAGAATTGTTCAAGATATTTTAAAAACCTGGCTTTTGTTTTGGTTGGTAATAGGTTCAACTTCTTGGGGCTGATGGCCTAGAACAAGATGTTGATGAGACTGAAGATGATGAATCACCAGAACAGCGAGCCCGAAGACCTATGAATGCATTTCTTTTATTCTGCAAACGCCATCGCTCCCTTGTCCGTCAAGAACACCCAAGGCTTGATAACAGAGGTGCTACCAAGATACTAGCTGATTGGTGGGCTGTTCTCGACCCAAAGGAAAAGCAGAAATACACAGACATGGCCAAGGAGGTAAGTTATAAGGATTATGTGTTAGAGTGATAATGAGCTGTAATTCCCACTCAGTAGTGTGGAGCACCTGTTGAAAGTCTAGTAATGATAAGATAAATCCTAAATCCACAGTGTGAAGTGGAAACAAAAGAGCTTCCTTTCTTCATGCTTTTGTGTTCCAAGTCCTCCTTTGAAATGCTGGTAGAGTTGCCAAGAGCATTTATTACCAAGTTTTTTATTGTCTGTATTCCCATTGATGGATATAAGGGATTGATTTATTATGAATGGTTTACTATGAATGGTGATTTATTTATTATGATTGATGATATTTAAACTTTTGCTGTCAGAGAATGCCAATGGTAAGATGACAATTTTCAGTTACTCTATGTGGTATCATGGGAAAGAGTCTTTATCTAGTTCTGATGCCATACAGTTTTGTGATCATATGTGTAAGTCAATCTTTGATCTTGGTGTCTTTCTTTTTAATGTTACTAGAATGAGGAAGTTTGACAAAGATTTGTATGCCTCCTAGCTTTTTTGATTTTGTTATAAACACAATTATCAGAGGTCTGCTTTGATTTGTGTCGGTTCTGAAAGTAGTGTAACATGCATATTTAAAATCAATAAATGAGTGAATGGTGGTAGAACAGGATGTGCTGTGATGTGTGCATATGTGTAAACACTGTAGGCAGTAGTTGGTAAGAAACATTTCCATGCAGGAAGGATATTGAGAGGTAGGACATTATTAGTTCCAAAATGATACCAGTTACTAAATTTCTTCAAAAAGTATATACTGGTTCTATTTCTAAATTAATCTGGAATTAATGTAAGATCATCATGCATTGTGATGGGGTTTAGTAAGGAATAAGCAAAGCAGTATCATTATAGTTAAACCTAAAAGGAATTATTCTAACATTTTTTCAGAGTTGTATCTTGCAAAACCTCCCTCCACCAAAAAAAAAAAAAAAACATCTTGGCTTACAAACTCCTACCACTCCAAATATTTGCTTAACTTTTTGAAAAAATGAAAAGTGGAATAAAGTGTGTAGTTTCCAAATACTTTATTAGACATCTCAGTATGTGGAAAAATAATATTTTCAGTTGCTGTGATTTTATTGATTTTATTGATCATAGTTTTAATGATGTAACGGACAAAATAAAAGCTTATGAACTGTTCAGGAAAATTTGAATCCAGAGTAAATAAATGATTAGCATAGTTGCTTTGTAATTAATGACTTCACAAGGCTTTTGGGATTGACTGTTGTTAAAGGTAGAATTTTAACTATGTAGGGCATGTGGAGAATTTAAAAACCAATTACAATAACCTGCATGATTTTAAGTGTTTCAGTAGATTTCCACTAGCACAACAGTAATTAATAAAACTTTCTCATTATACAACATTATATCCTTTCATAGTCATACTTATAAGATAAAATAAACAATTATCTCTGAAACCTCACAGGGAGGTGCCTAAGCTATCTGTAATTAAATTCTGGAGTTTATTTTTGTATTGCTGGGGTTTTTTTTCTTTTTTTCTTTTTCTTTTTCTTTTTTGCAATGACATGCAGCAAGCATATCTTCTTCCACCACTCAATATTGTTTTCCTTTTCTTAAATACAGCCAATTTACAAACCCAATAGGTGACCACTTTTAAGAGGAAGAAATATTTTTGCACAGGAAATCTCTTACTAATTACTTAATTAGTTTCACAATATTTGCCATAGTTTTGCTATAATGAAACCTATTAAGAAGGCCCCCTGCAACCTGAAAGTGAAAACCATAATGTCCCACATTGCAGCTTGCCTTGTACATAGCTACTCTTAGGAAAGGTTGCAAAGTTTAAAAAATTTGGCTACTTTCAAAGTTACTATGCAGTTGATCTCTAGTCATGATTCTTACTTGTATCCATTTACTAAATCTTTTCACAATTATATTAAAGTGCATGTAATTGTGGTTGTGCCTTTTGTGTTAATATTGCAACCTTAATTTAAATGTTCAGTGAACCAGTACTTTCTAAGTGGTTTCATTGTACCAGGTTCTATGGTAGTTACTGGTGATTTAAGGCCAGTGATAAATACGGTATCTATTCTTCTCAAGCTCCTCACCACTGTTGTTCTTAAACTCTGTTTTAAATCTTTTAATTTTAAATGTTCTTTCAGCATAGTGCATACGTGCATGCTTGCTTGTGTTCCCGTTATTAGTTGAATGTTGAATGAGAAATATAGTTGTGCATCACTTAACAACAGGGGATACATTCTAAGAAATGTCTGATTAGGAAATTTGGTCACTGCACAAGCATCATAGTATACTTACATAAACAGACATTTACTGTATTAGTAGGCAATATAATCTTAAGAGATCACTGTTGTATATGTGGTCTGTAGTTATTTGACCAAAGCATTGTTATGTAACTGTTCCTTTCTCTTTTTGATTTCCAAAGAAGCATATTTAAAAATGAGTAATAATTAAAATAACTTTGGAGAGATTCTTTTGTATATCTATTAGTTCCTGAAAATTGACCCTTAACTCTTCCCTTACTACTGATTGTCTTATATTAGTTCATTTGATAAGGGAAGTACCCATTCTAGGGCTTACTGTAATTTTCCTAAGTAATTGCATGGTACTAATTTGATTTTTTGGAGGAAAAAACCTGGTTAAAAGAGGGTTTCAAGTTTCCTGATGAATTTTATTAGAGTAATAATTATTCGTAAGTAATCTAAAATATTCTATCCTAGGGCTGGCAGAGTGGCTCAAGTGGTAGACCACCTGCCAAGCAAGTGTGAGGCCCTGAGTTCAAACCCCAGTGCCAATCAATCAATCAATCAATCTGTAAATAAATAAATAAATAAATAAATACTATCCTTGGGTTATAATATGGGTTTTTTCTTAAATTCAGCAGTGTGCAAGGTAGTGCAGTGTTGGAGACATTTACAGGTTCTGATTTGTCAATGTGTGGACTGCCTGTTAGGAGGCACAGAAGCAGTTTTACCTTTTCTTTTAATATCTGTACATATGTACTCTTACAAATATAGAAATATAAATTTCTGTATTCTTGCTTATGGTGTTGCTGGAGCTTACCACTTGTCACTTAAACTAATGATCATAATTAATGAACTGACCTTAAATTTAAAGAATCATGCAACTTTCATTTAGAACAGTTAGTGCAAAGAGGAGGGGAGGAGCTGGAAAGTTTAGACAATTCCAATGACCTTTATGATATTTTTTATCTCTTAAGATCAGAAGCATAAGACAGCATGCATATATTTATCGATTAGTTGGTTCATTCGTTGCTTGATGTTTCAAGTAAATGCAAACATGTACAATAAGTTATGATTATCTCTCTTCTTACATAAGACTCAGAGATGTTTGTATCTTGATCAGGTATATGTTTATTGAACAAATGGTGGATCTGGGATACTCCTTTCTATTTGACTTTAGAACCTTTTAAATATGTCTTTATCCTATCTACTTCAGATAAGTAGATTTGGGTAAGTACTTCAAGGATGGTAATGATAAAAGGTCATGAGTCTTATGGGAAGAGTCGGCTTGTGCTGGGGTAGGAGGGGAGAGGCAGGTGGGATCAGAAAGTCTTTATAAAGTCCTTGGTTTTGGTACAAGATTCAGAGAGAAAGACATGGCTAAGAATAGATATGGGGAAGTGAGATCATTTTTAGGAACCAGAAAGGTTGTTTCTTTGTTGTTGCTGTATTTTTTTTTAACCTGGAACCTAGCCTAGGTTAGTGTAAGAGAGTCACAGGAGATGATAATATAAAGGCAAATAAGACAATAATTATAAGAAATCAAGCTGTAAAGCTTGAAAGTTTAGTTATGTCAATAAAATAAAACTTGAAGGGAAAACCATACTAGTTCTTTGTAAATGTTGTTATCTGTTGTCAATACTCAAGGAAATATCATTACCATAGCTCTGTGGAATTTTAATTAGTACTTATTTTATATTTCTTCAAGACAAAATTAATCTGTTTGTGATTATTTATAGCTCAGTTAATTTTGTAAAGTTCACTTATTCCCTTGTTGTTGCATTAAAAATGGACTCTCCTCCAAAGAAGTTACCCTTTCATTTCTCATGAGTTGTAATCTATTAACATTTGCACTGTTTGAAAAAATGCAAATTCTTACTTACTATAAACTGTTTTGTTAGAAAAAAGTTTAAAGAATTTAAGGACATTATTAAACCAAAGTAAACCTATTTTTAAGAAAACGTAAGCATTTCACAATTCCAATTTCTAATATATGAATTACACATCTTCCTTATCATTGAATACATTTTCAGAAAGGATCTTTGCCAGATACTTTTTTCACCCAATCCCCTAAAAAGTAACAAAATTAAAATTTTTAAAGAAATTCTTAAAAGGGCGGAACAGATTCTGCCTGAAAGTGAGGAGGGGCAGGGAGGAGAGGGAGGGATGGGGATGGGGAGGAGAAATGGCCCAAACAATGTATGCACATAAGAATAAACGAGAAAAAAAATAAAATAAAATCAATTAAGATGCAAAAAAAAAATACTAACTTTTGGTTTTCTAAAAAATGAATAGAAACGGATTAAACTGGCTTTTCTCCTAATTACCCAAATTACTAAGTAAAACTGTAACTTAAAAATTTATATATGAGGGCTGGAGGTATGGCTCAAGCAGAAGAGTGCCTGCCTAGCAAGCTCAAGGTCCTGAGTTCAAACCCCAGTATCATTCCCCCCCAAAAAAATACGTATGTATAAAAATGGAACTACTGTTGCCACACTAATTCTCACCCTTATACCATTTAACTAGCCATATCAGTAGCTCTGTTTCACAACAGAGCAACCAAACAATTCCCTAGTTACAACATTGAGGTCACTTTTTTAAGTGTATAATTCCTGTTTGGAGTAGTTTTACTACAAAAGTATTTCAGGTTAATGTATAACTTAAAAATATCTTTATTCAGTCAAAACCATAAATTTAATTAAGTGTTGTATCATGTGAAACAGTATAATTAGTTTTCTTCCTTTTCAAAATAGCAAGAACAACTCATGTCAGAGTATATTGAGTCATATTATCTCAATGATAAGTTCTAAATTTCAGTGAAGGAAAAGTCCTCAAAGTAAGGAAGTACAGAGTAGTGCCACTTTTCAAATCTCTCCCTTGTGTAATGTGATTTCTGCTTGCCAATGGGAAGGAATAGAAGTGTCTCCAATCTAAGCTGTTCTAGGGGTTCATTTTGTAAAATAAAATACAACTCTTTAAAAAATCAGATAATTTGTTATGTTGTCACTTAAACTTTTTGTAGATTTTATTTCATTGTAGTATTTTAGGGCTGGGGGTGTGGCTCAAGTGGTGGAGTATCTGCATACCAAGCCCAAGGCCCTGAGTTCAAACCCCACTACTGCTAAACAACAACAACAAAAAGAACAACATTGTAGTATTTTACATACTTGCACCACAGTTACCTGTTTTCAGTTACACAGCCGTTTTCAGCATCCCTTTTTAATTGAATTTCAGTAGTGTTGCCATTCTCTTTGACTCTGTTTAAATAATCTAAACTATAATAGTTAGAAATACTAGCGGACTTTTAGATAGTACCCCATCCCAAGTTAAAAATAAATAGTTGGAGAAAATCTTTCATGTATATTACAGTCTTAAGTAGATCAGATTTCCATTTGTGTAAATGATCTGGAAAGCATTTAATGTTGAGACCCCATTTTAAGCAATTGCATAATAGATAATTGTCTTTTGTTATATAATAACTCCATTGTCAAATATAAAGGAGGCAAAATACTATGATAAAGGGTGTATATTTAATGACAGTCTTGAATATCAATAGACTCAGTGACTGAAATACTAGTTTATTATTATTGCTAATGAAATGCAGTGGTGGTTAGGGTCTAACAGAAGGGAGCAAACATTACTAATTGCCTTGTATCAAGAACTATATCTGTAAAGTAGATCTCATTTAGATCTTTTAATTGGTGGAAATTTGCAGAAAGAAATTGGAGGCTGTGAGGTAAATTTTTAATGGGGAATTTGAAAAGTCAGTATTTTAGCAAGAGCCTAATTATCTGCTAGAGTCTTTCATTGAAGTCTTAGTGCCTGTGATTTGTGTTCTTAGAAGGTAAATGAGCTTCCCTTTCCATCTCTAGCATGAACAGCCTGGTCCTGAATGTCTAGATTAGGTGGGGCTTACTCTTTGACCCTTTCAGTCCTATGATGATGAATTTTTCCCACATGGTCAACCTGTATGGTAACAATTACCTGTTTCAGACTATAAACAAAATCTCTGCCATTTTTCTTTACCCAGCTTATTTGTAATCCTTTTTCTAATAACCTCACCACAACAAATGATTAAACCTTTCTATTGTCTCTTATAGCTGAATCAGGGCAAGTGATTGATGAGGTACCCAATTCTGAGGACAGATAGGCATCCTCACACTTTGAGTCCACTCCTGCTTCTGCCTTGCTTGGTACTCATACATTGGTTGTGATGACCTGCATGTTTTCACTTGAAATTATGACATTTCCATCTGACTTTAAACCCCTAAGGAGTTTCTCTGCCTCCCACATCCTTAATCCTTCTATTCAATATATACCTGATTGGAGGGCTAGGGTACTTGGTGGTGAAGTACATGCTTAGCATGTATGAGTTCCAAGGACCAATCTCTAGTACCAACAAATAAATAAACACACACATGCACACACATATTATATATATTTGATTGAATAAATAATCAATGAACATTTATTGTATTTATGTATTGAGTTTAAAAATCTGGAAGATTAATATTGTCGTACAATTTCCATGTAGTAAATTCCCAGTTATCATTTTCTATAAAACCCTTCATGTTCCAAACTTTTCTCATGCCTTTTGTTTTCCATTCATAGGTAGATTCTCCTTTTACATACCTATTGCAAGACCATTTTTTCATGCCTAAGTCAGAGCAAGTCTTATAGACATATGTAAAAAGAAATAATATATTTGTGTACTGAATTTTGAATTGTAAGCATTATGAAGGGGACTCTATTTTATCCTCTTTCTTGGCCCCATTGTCCAATAAGAATCTGTCATCTAGTCAGTACTCACAAAGTATTTTCAGTGAAGGTGGGTGGAATATATACAAGAGAAAGAAATTGTGGTGTGATTGTCACTGCTTCATGTTGTCTTTAACACCAGCTCTCCATTATAAATTAGTTTAAGCTGACTGGCCCTATTATCATCAACTATGCTTCAAAAAAAGTGATGATGACAATAATTCATTTTTCAGGATGACAGTATTAACATTTCCATTTCACTTATTGATTTTTACTGAAGCAGATTACTAAATGATTCTTAGCAAAAGAGCTGTCTAGCAGATGAACATGGGAATGGGAAGCAAAGGAGAGGACACCTAGAAACAAGAAATTTGAGTGCTAGTGAGATCGTCCAGCATCTGTCACAATTGTGACTTTCTTCTTTACAAATTAAACTACTGAAAAAGGATAATTTTATTTCTCGTGACAAATTCGCTTGAAAGTCTTCTGTCACCTTGTAGAATAGTGACCTTTGTCCAGATGACTGTCTGACAAACCTAGTCCATGTGCATTTTCCTGGAGCACAATAACAATGTATGTGGTACTTCCATTTTCACCTCTCCCTGCCATTTGTCATGTTTTGTGTCCAGACAGCAGGCAAGACTGTTTGCCTCAGCTTAATATGTAAATCTACCATGCAGATGAATACACTGTGGTAGTGTATGTCTCATGTCACATTTGATGTTTCCAAATACATTCTGCTGTGCAATGGTAAATTCCAGTTTGGTTTTACCCTTGTGACCCATTTTTGTTATTTTTGTAAAAGTTGGAGTATAAGAGTTTTTTGTGCTTATCTTTTCATGTGTATATATATACACACATAAATTTACATCTTATAGGTAAAAAACTACTCAGAAGATTTCAGTTGAGATAACCTTGGGATGATTATAAGACATAGATTATTATCTGTATAATTCAAAATGAAATGGTGGGAAAAGTTTATTTAGATTGCATATTGTTTCCTTATAGCAAGATTAAAGGGACCTTCTTTTCCTGTTGGGTTAAATTAAAAGCTATTTGGAGCACTGGCCATTTTTAAAGGCAAACTTTGACATTGAAAGAATTATGTTAATTTAATAAAATATCTAATAATAATAGTTGAAGACTACATGGAAAACACATTTTTATCAGATAACCTAAATTTAGGCAGCATATAACGAATGTCAATTGAAAAATATCATTTAATGTTACTGTCATGAGAGGAGAAAGAGGTAACATGAATTGGGAGAAAGGATAACAGAAGGAGCCTCAGAACAAAATGAAAGAAAAAGAAAGGTGTTGTCAGTGAAGGTCGAAACCTCCAAGGAAGATATAAAGTTTGTGGTGGATTAATTGCAGCATGACACATCAGAGTCCTTAAAACTTGTTCATATGTGAACCATGTGTGCTCGCTACAAAACATTGGCAGGTATGGAATTGAGACTGAGAAAAGTTAAGCAACTTACTTAATGTCTACAGCTGGCTAAAGCAGAGGTACATTTTGAACCCAGGTCATCACACTGCATCCAGTGTTCTTTCTTTTACATGGCTTTTTTTCAAATTACCAAAAAGCTGTATGTCATTGGCCTACTTTCCCCCTTCTCCCACTCTTGATCTCGGCTCCTTTATCTCACAATTGAGTATTTTTCTATGTTAAATTTGCCTGCATATGTCTTACTTACACATAAAAGCAGAGACTTACTTTTTAAAACCGTACTTGCCATATTAAGTGAAGCAATGGGTAGAATCTGGTTCCTGGAATTGATATTGACTCACACTCTGTAATGTGTACCTGAAACCTACTCTGAAATAGGTGCTTTGCCATGCACCATTCTTGATAATAGCCATAGGCGTTGGTGGTCAGCTTATGTACTCAAGTTTGAAGCCCGGAAAGGTCACTTTTCTGGCCTTGGTCACTGTTGCCTCATATGGAAAGTGCTCTATCTCTAGAGTCCTCAACTCTATTATAAACAGCTCCATCTGCTTCCAACAGTAGACAGCTTTTTGGAAAGTAAAATATATTGGGGAATAAAAGATACAAAGTACCCAACCTCTGTGATTTTAGTACCACAAATGGACCTTCCAGTAGACAACTCCATGTCCTTATCTCTGGAGCTATTGATGAGATTATTATTTTTACTATGAGGAAAGCCACAGAAATTGCTGCAAATGTTTTTCTCACTCCTTATCTAAATGGGAGAATAGGGTGAAGGCCATTCAAATTGTTTTCAATCTGTATATTGATTAAAATCTATCTGTTCTTTTATTTATAGTATAAAGATGCATTTATGAAAGCAAATCCTGGCTACAAATGGTGTCCTACCACAAACAAGCCTGTAAAATCACAAACACCTGCTGTCAATCCACGAAAGAAACTTTGGGCCTTCCCATCTGAGTCTTCAAGAGATTTGCCAAGCCCCAAGAAAGCAAAGACTGAAGAAATGCCTCAACTTAACTTTGGAATGGCCGGTGAGTTTAGACACTATTTTCATCTATTTTTTTAAGGACAGAGCAATATATTTAGTCACTATTTTTAACTAATCACAGAATTGGGAGGAGCAAAATTTACAAACAATGACAAGCTGTGTTTTAAACCCAGGTCATCACACTCTGCATCCAGTGCTGTTTCCTATACCTGACCCTATCTTTAACCTAAAGGTTGTGTATCCATTGCCCTACCTTGTTTCCCTTCTCCCACTCTTTTTTTTTCTCTTTATTCATATATTCACATGTACATACATTGTTTGGGTCACTTCTCCCCTGCCCCCACACCCCCCTCAGTTCTAGGCAGAACCTGTTCTGCCCTTTTCTCCAATTTTGTTGAAGAGAAGACATAAGCAATAATAAGAAAAAGTGTTTTTTCTAGTTGAGATAAGGATAGCTATACAGAGAGATTCCTAGCATTGCTTCAATGCACAAGTATATTACAACCTGAATTGATTATTTTCTACCTGACCTCTTCACTACTCCCTGGTCACCTTCCCATATTGACTTCTGTCACTTTAAGGTTATTGTATTAGCTCCTCTTCAGTGGGGACATCAAACACTTTCAAGTTTTGGGTTTGCTACCTATTCCCTTTCCTCCCATATGTGCTCTCCTCTTGTCATGTGACCCAAGTCCAACAACATTACTGCCTTTGCCCTAGATCTAAAGTCTGCATATGAGGGAAAACATACGAGTTTTGGTCTTCTGAGCCTGACTAACCTCACTCAGAATGATGTTCTCCAGTTCCATCTGTTTACTTGTGAATGATAAGATTTCATTCTTCTTTATGGCAGAGTAAAATTCCATTGTATATAAATACCACATTTTCTTAATCCATTCGTCAGGGCTGGGGCATCTTGGCTGTTTCCATAACTTGGCTGTTGTGAACAGTGCTGCAATAAACATGGGTGTGCAGGTGCCTCTGGGGTAACCTGAGTCTCATTCCCTTGGGTATATCCCCAGGAGTGGGATTGTTGGATCATATGGCAGATCTATGTTTAGTTTTTTAAGAAGCCTCCATATTGTTTTCCAGAGTGGTTGCACTAGCTTGCATTCCCACCAGCAGTATATGAGGGTTCCTTTTCCCCACATCCTCACCAACATTTGTTGTTGTTGGTGGTTTCGGTAGTAGCTATTCTAACAGGGGTGTGATGGAATCTTAGTGTGGTTTTAATTTACATTTCCTTTATGGCCAGAGATGGTAAGCATATTTTCATGTGTGTTTGACCATTTAAATTTCTTCTTTTGAGAAACTTCTGTTTAGTTCAGTTGCCCATTTCGTTACTGGTTCATTGATTTTGGGAGAATTTAGTTTTTTGAGCACCCTGTCTTTTCAGGTTATCAGTCCTTTGTCTGATGTTGAAGCTGGCAAATGTTTTCTCTACTTTGTGGGTAGTGTCTTCCGTTCAGAGACCATTTCTTTTCTTGTGCAGAAGCTTTTTAATTTTATGTAGTCCCATTTGTCCATCCTTTTGCTTAGTTACTGAGCTGATGGGGTTCTGTTGAGGAAGTCCTTGCCTATACCTATTGCTCCCAGAGTATTCCCTGCTCTTTCCTGTACTAACTTCAGACTTTTGGGTCTGATATTAAGGTACTTGACCTATTTTGAGTTCATAGTAGTACAGGGTGATAAACATGGATCAAATTTCAGTTTTTTGCAGGCAGACAACCACTTTTCCCAGCAACATTTGCTGAAGAGGCTGTCTTTGGCAACTTTGTAGAAATAACGTGGGCATAGTTGTGTGGATTCATATCCGGGTCCTCTATTCTGTTCCACTGGTATTCATATCTGTTTCTGTGCAGTACCATGCTATTTTTATTGCTATGGCTTTGTAATATAGTTTGAAGTTGGATATTGTGATACCTCCAACATTGTTCTTTTTCTGAGTATTGCCTTGGCTATTCACAGTCTCTTGTGTTTCCAAATGAACTTTAGGGTAGATTTTTCAATCTCTGTGATGAATGTCATTGGGATTTTGATGGGAATTGCATTAAACATTTAGATTGCTTTTGGTAGTATAGACATTTTTACTATTTTGATTCCACCAATCTATGAGCATGGGAGATCTTTCCACCTTCTGTAGTCTTCCTTGATCTCTTTCTTCAGGGGTTTGTAGTTCTCCTTGTAGATTATTCACATCCTTTGTTAAGTTTACACTTAGGTATTTGATTTTTTTTGAGGCTATTATAAATGAAATTGTCTTCATATATTCTTTCTCAATTTGTTTGTTGTTGGTGTATAGAAAAGCTGATGATTTTTGTAAGTTGATTTTGTATCCTGACACCTTGCTGTAGCTGTTTATGGTGTCTAGGAGTTTTTGGGTAGAGTTTTTTAAGTCTTTAAGGTGTAGGATCATGTTGTCTGCAAATTGGGATATTTTGACAGTTTATTACCTATCTGTATTCCTTTTATTTCTTCTTGCCTAATTGCTCTGGCTATGAATTCCAGGACTATGTTGAATAGGAGTGGGGATAGTGGGCACCCTTGTCTCATTCCTGATTTTAGGGGAACAGGTTTCAGTTTTTCTCCATTAAGTATGATGTTGGCTATAGGTCTGTCATAGATAGCCTTTACAATGTTGAGGTATGTTCCTTCTGTTCCTACTTTTCTTAGAGCTTTTATCATGAAGTGGTGTAGGATCTTATCAAAGGCTTTTTCTGCATCTGTTGAGATGATCAAGTGGGTTTTGTCTTTGCTTCTATTAATGTGCTGTATTACATTTATAGATTTGCATATATTGAACCACCCCTGCATCCCTGGGATGAAGCCAACTTGGTCATGGTGAATGATCTTTCTGATATGTTGTTGGATTCGGTATGCCATTATTTTATTGAGGATTTTTGCATTGATATTCATTAAGGAGATTGGCCTATATTTCTCCATTTTGGAGGTGTCTTTGTCTGGTTTGGGTATGAGTGTAATGCTGATTTTACTGGTTTGGGTTTTTTCTCTCCTCATTTTAGTCAGGTTTGCCAGGGGTCTGTCAATCTTACTTATTTTTTCAACGAACCAGCTTTTTCTTTCATTGATTCTTTGTATGTTTTTTGTTGTTGTTGTTTCTGTTTCATTGATTTCAGCCCTTATTTTAATTATTTCTTTCCTTCTGCTTGTTTTGGGATTTTCTTATTCTTGTTTTTCTAGGAGTTTGAGCTGTAGTATTAGATCATTGATTTGAGATCTTTTTGTCCTTTTAATATATGCAATCATGGCTATAAACTTTCCTCTTAGGACTGCTTTTGCTTGTCCCATAAGTTCTAGTAGGTCATGTTTTCATTTTCATTAATTTCCAGGAACGTTTAACTTCCTCTTTTATTTCATTGATGACCCACTGATCATTGAGCAATGTGTTGTTTAGCTTCCAATTGTTTGCATATTTTCTACTGTCGTTTTTGTTGTTGAGTTCTAGTTTTAATGCATTGTGGTCAGATAGAATGCATGGGATTATTTCTGTTTTCTTATATTTGCTGAGGCTTGCTTTCTGCCCTAAGATACCAACTTTGGAAAAAGTTCCATGGGCTGCTGAGAAGAATGTATATTGTGCAGATGTCGGATGAAATAGTCTGTAGACATCAGCTAGGTCCATTTGATCTATGGTGTGATTTAGTTCTAGAATTTCTTTATTGATTTTTTGTTTGGATGACCTATCTATTGGTGATAGGGGGGTATTAAGATCTCCCACTACCACTGTGTTGGAGTTCATCTATGTTTTTAGGTCCTTCAGAGTATGTTTGATGAAATTGGGTGCATATAGGTTGATAATTATTTCCTTTTGGTGTATTTCCCCTTTTATGAGTATGGAGTGTCCTTCTTTATCTTGTTTGATCAATATAAGTTTGAAGTCTACTTTGTCCAAGATAAGTATTGCTACTCCTACCTGTTTTCTGGGACCATTGGCTTGGTAAATCTTCTTCCAGCCTTTCACTCTAAGCCAGTACTTGTTTCTGTCAATGTGATGGGTCTCCTGTAAAAAACTGATTGTTGGATCTTCCTTTTTAATCCAGTATGCCAGATGGTGTCTTTTGATGGGGGAGTTAAATCTGTTAACATTCAGTGTGATTATTGATAAGTTTGTGGTGATTCCTGTCATTTAGTTGTTTTTGTTGTTTGAGGGTTTGATTGTGTGCAGCTGAATTAATGTTGCTCTCTGATTCCTTGTCTTTTCTTCTCCTGTAGTTTGGTGTTGCCTGTCATCTCATGGTTTTGTTTGCTTTCATTTTCTGTGTGTAGAATTCCTTGAAGAATCTTTAGTAGTTGTGGCTTGGTGGTCATATATTGTTTTACTTTCTGTTTATCGTGGAAGTCTTTTATTGCTCCATCTGTTTTGAATGATAGTTTTGTTGGGTTGAGTATCCTAGGGTTGAAGTTGTTTTCATTTAGTGCCAGGCATACCTTACTCCATGCCCTTCTTGCTTTTAAGGTTTCCATTGAGAAATCTGCTGTGATTTTGATGAGTTTACCTATCAAAAAATCACAATATGAAAAATCAAAATATGAACAACTCCATCACAAATCTGAGATGGATCTGACAGTTGTGCCTTATAGAGAATTCTCATCCTACCCCCTCCTCCCATCTCCATACCTGTATTGGCTGAGCAAATTTAAAATTCTAGGTGTAACAAGCAAACTTTCTTCAAAATCATATTCCTGAACTACCTGCAAGGAAGATTTGGAAAGGAGGTTGAGCCATACTGTAAGGACACTTTTTTTTTTAAATGCCCACAAACTTCATAGTTCAATGTGTGATTCATAGTATAAAAGTGTGAGACCTGGGCATGGTGGCTTGCACCTGTAATCCCTGCTACTCAGGGAGTAGAGATCAGGAGGATCATGGTTTGAAGCCAGCCTAGGCCCAAAGTTAGTGAGACCCCCTACTCTTAGCCAACAAACCTACTTATGCATGGAATCACAACTGCTTGGAGGCATAAGTAGGAGGATCACAGTCCAAGGTAAGCTCAAGCAAAAAATGTGAGGCCTTATCTGAAAAATAAAGCAAAAAAGGAATGGGGATGTAGCTTAAGTGGTCAAGGCTTATCTAGCAAATATGAGGCACTGTGTTTGGACTCCAGTACTGTCAAAAAAAAAAAAAGTTAAAAAAAATATGAAGCTTAACATAATATAGTAGTATTCTTGGAAAACAAAGTTTTCAAGTGATTGTTGTGTGGTATAATTCTAGGTGAATTTCCAAAATGATGTTTCTGCATATCCCATACAGGAACCCAAAACATAAAGATCTATTCTTGTTTTAGTTGTCACTTGGTACAAACTTAGCTGTAGCCCACCCGTTACTAAGTAGTCTTAGTGAGCTTTCTTGACTTCCCAGAATGTATCACTTGGAGTATTTTCCAAGACATTTTATTATCAAGACCAAAAAAGGGATATATAGATGACTTGTTTCTAAAGTGAATTTCCTTGATAGTTACTTAGCAGCCATTGCTTTTTTTTTCCTCAGTTCTAAATCTAGGATAGTATATCTAGAGTTTTTTGGGTTTTTTTTTTTTTTTTTTTTTTTTTTGACATTTAGTTGTTCTTCACAGACCAAATAATAATTATAGGTAATCGACAAAGCTATGAAAAATGTCTTTTTGTAGCCTTGTTTCTGACAGTTACTAATCTGATTTTTAACCTACAAAATGAAAGTTGAACCTAGACTTTAACCAATGTATTTCTAGGTCAACGTTTTAAAATAATGTTCTTTAAAGTAAAGCAGGAAAGAAGAAAAACAGCTGTATAGCATTTATCTCAATAATAATGGCCTATGTTGTATGTTGGAAATCCATGATCCATAGGTCTTGTTTAGCTTGTGCGTGGTAGGTACCATTACTGATATTTCTTGCTATGTCCCTTTTCAACAAGTGAATTAAGTTGCTTTTAACTGAAACCTGGTGTTTAGCTATTTGAATCTAGGAAATACTAAACGGATTTTAAATACCAGTTTTCATTTTCTTCAACACGAAATCTCCGATTTTGTTTGCTCAACTTATCATTTTACATTATAGAATAACCCCCAAATTGTCAAATGTATGAATTCCCGGAGAGAGAGCTATTTAGAATTTAATATACTACAGACTAGTAAAGAGAAAGTATGCTATTTATGTGAATATATTTTGGAATATATTATGTGAATATATAGTTCTAAATAACATTATGTAAATATAAATTATATGAAAGATAATTCCTTGGCCTATCTTTTAATATGAATATAGTAAACTTCTTAACAAAGTCAAGTCACATTTGGTATATAACTTAGATTATTATGTAATCATGTTCCTATTTTACTTTGTAATTTAAACTACACGTTTTTATCTTTAGAATGCTATTCTTCAGTCCTCCTGGCCTCTCAGATGACAGCTGCAAAAGTATTGCACTCTCAAGTACCAAGATGAACTTTTATTTTGTAGTAAATTCATTTCCCTCCTGATTTTTATTTTTAATTAGGTTTAAGTATCTATTTTAGCAGGCACAATAGCTCTTAAATTTAATGCTCAATTAAAATTGGAATCTTAAAATAACACAAGAGCTTTGTTTCATCAAATCAGCCAGTGTCGGCTTGGGTATTTTGTCTTCTATTGTGGTTGTCTTCCAGTATTGACCTTTTATCTTGAACACCTGATAACTTGGTGACATAGCTTTCTCTCTAATAACCTCATAACCTCCTTTTCCCATTTTTCTTCTCTCACTCTCTCTTTTGTATTTGGAGGAATCTATCTCCCCTTTTCACAGTGTTTTAAAATTTGTATGTAAAATATGAAGAGTTGCTCCAAGAGTTCTCAACACAGGTTGTATGCAAAGATGTACTTAAGGGCATATCTTTTTCTACAAAAGGAAAAGTAACAACTGATTGTCTTTAAACAACCTAATGACTAATCCTCATTTGCAGTTGTAGAGAGATTCCTAAAATATGCATTCATTGACGACGTATGTACACTGTAACAGACACTGGGTTAGGCATTTTTACTTATGTTCTTTCATTGCAATTCTGAATTTTAATTCATTTAAAGCAACCTTAAAGAATACAGGTTTCTATTATCTGTAATACTTTGTTAAGTTATAACCTGGGTCATATGTCTAGCACTGTGCAGTTTTTATTTTGTCTTTCTGTTTCTGTTGATTATTAAAAGATTGAAAATAACCAGATGTAATAGTGTAACCCTGTAATCCCAGCATTCAGGACACTTAGACAGGAAGTTCATAGTTTGAGTTTGAAGCTACATAGTTAATTCCAGACCAGCCTGGGGTATTACAGGGAGGCCATGTCTCAGAAATGCAAGAAAGAATGAAAAAAATCTTTGCTAACAAAAACATATTAAATTTAAACTGAAGTTATTGGGAACAAAAGCCTAACTTACCTCTAAGATTTCAGTTGTTTAAAATACATCTGTTAAATTTATTTTGAAAGAGTTAAAGAAAGATTATTTGAAAAATCTCACTAGCTTTTGGAGGCCCATTTGGGAAATGCTTCTCTGTTCTCTAATAGCCTTGAGCTTTTACTTTTTCTTTTTCTTTTTTTTTTTTTTGACAGTTCTGGAGTTTGCATTCAGGACTTTGTGCTTGCTAGGCAGGTACTCTAGCACTTGAACCACACCCCCAGCCCTTTTTGCTTTAGTTATTTTTCAGAGAGAGTCTTATACTTTTTCCCCAGTCTGGCCTCAGACCATGATCTTCCTATGTAATTCCTCCCAAGTAATTGGAATTGCAGATGAGTGCCACTATGTCTATCTTGTTCTTTGAGCTAGGTTCTCACTAATTTTTTTTTTTTTCACCCAGGCTAGCCTCAAACTGTGATATCCTATCTCTGTCTCTTGAGTATCTGGAATACCAAGTGTGAGCTACCACACCAGACCACCTTGTTCTTTTTATTTGTCCTGATTTCACATAACAAGTAATAATTTGTGATTAACAAATCTTTGTATTTTTATTACTGTATATTAATTGTACAAAGGGTTTTCATTGTGGTATTTCACAACGCATATATTGTACAATGCATATATTGTACATTGACCAGATTTACCCCCTTATTGCTTTCTGTTTTCCCTGCTCCCTCTCCTCTGCCCTATTTTTCAACAGGTTTCAGTGGGATATCTTATACCATCTTCATACATAAATACAGTGTATTTCAGTATTGTTCATCCCCCCCATATCATTCTCTTTCTCTCTCTCCCTTCTTCCTGGTCCCCTCAGCAAGTCCCATGATTATAGTCATGCTTATATATATATATGCGCATGTGTGTGTGTGTCTAGATTCTGCATATGAGAGAAAACATGTGGCCTTTGTCCTCATGAACCTGACTTACATTGCTGTTCGAAGACAAAAATTCTATCTAAACTCCCCATGCTTGGAAAAAAGCTTTATATTTGAGAAATAACTCATGTTATAAGAGCTATAGTATTGAAAAATAACAATGATAGAATAGTGAGACAAGTGATATTTAAAAGGTTCATTTAAAAAGCAGGGCATGGTGCTGCAAGCCTGTAATCCCAGCACTCGGGAGGTTTAGGCAGGAGGATCACAAGTTCAACTCCAACCTGGGCTACATAGCAAACCCTGTCTCAAAAAAAGAAAAAGGCTCATTAAGGTGTAATCACTAAGTACATTTATGCCAGGTTAGTGTTGCATAAAGAATTTTGAAAGGTTTCCATAAAAGTTTTATATGGTTATGTTGCATTTCTATCTTTATAAATATTCTTTGCTGATTTTGTATGATTATATGTACTTCATACTTGTAAGCTGATTTTCTTTTCTGATTTTTATTTAGATCCTACCCAAATGGGAGGCCTGAGCATGTTGCTGCTAGCTGGAGAACATGCTCTTGGCACATCAGAGGTAAGCTAGTCCCTCATCCCTCTCCATTTTGCTCACAATGGGCCTTTGGGTATCTGTGTACTGTTTACCTTACTGTTTCTGCAGTTTCACTGCTTACAGCTCATCAACAGACTTTACCTATAATTTTTCTCAGTAATATCTCTCTGTTCATCTGGTGTGCTGAGAATAGCAGAAGCGATGTAAGTAAGCCTAAGAAGACACAACACAAGTCTGTTGCAAGTTTTAAGTTCTGTTAACCTAGGAATAAGAAATACAAGATGCAGATAATGACTCTGTCATTAGTATGTAGATTGTATCTTAGAATCCTATTCTTTCACTCTATTCATTCCCTGCTTTTATCATGTTCTCATTTAAACTTGTTGGTGGAAAGATGACAGAAAAAAAAAAAACATGAAACTATCAGTCTCTCTAGTATCTGAATAATTCAGAACTCCTATTTTGGAAATCTGGAATCAAGGCATTCCAGAATTGTTTTGTTCTTTAAAATGGAAAATGCAAAGAACCCAGGGCCTCATAATCTTGGGTTCATGATCTAGTTATTTACTCTAATAAAAATTTGTAGGTTTTTTTTTTTTGGTGGGGGTAAGTGGCAGTTAACCACACATAGTCTACATTTGTGGAGTCTTCTGTTTTCCAGACTCACTTAACAGAGGCCAGTTGAATTAAACTACAGGCTGTGTTATTTCATCACACTTGGGTTCTTGAGATGGAAATTTTCAATCCCCAGTAGAATAGCTGTTTAGCACAAAATAGCAATTTTATTGCAGGGTTATATTTTTTACTTTTTTTTTTTGATTGTGAGTATGCCATACAGATTAGTTAAAACTTACTTAACTATACAGGCTGTTTATATCACATTATACTTTTGCCATTTATATTTTATATCTGTGTTCCAGATTGCTAACTATCTGTTCAAGTTAGCTTCTGATTCTGTTCAATTCAACATAGTAAAAACTGAATCAGTTTAGTTACTGGTATTTATATTGCACTGGTTTTTTTTGTTTTGTTTTGTTTTCTTTTCATTTTGTTTTATTTTTTTCTACTTTTGTTTTTCTTTATTTTCTTTTTTTTTCTGCTTTTTTTCTCTTTTTTTTTTTTATTATTCATATGTGCATACAAGGCTTGGTCATTTCTCCCCCTGCCCCCACCCCCTCCCTTACCACCCACTCCGCCCCCTCCCTCTCTCCCCCACCACCTCAATACCCAGCAGAAACTGTTTTGCCCTTATTCCTAATTTTGTTATAGAGAGAGTATAAGCAATAATAGGAAGGAACAAGGGTTTTCGCTGGTTGAGATAAGGATAGCTATACAGGGCATTGACTCACATTGATTTCCTGTGCGTGGGTGTTACCTTCTAGGTTAATTCTTTTTGATCTAACCTTTTCTCTAGTTCCTGGTCCCCTTTTCCTATTGGCCTCAGTTGCTTTAAGGTATCTGCTTTAGTTTCTCTGCATTAAGGGCAACAAATGCTAGCTAGTTTTTTAGGTGTCTTACCTATCCTCACCCCTCCCTTGTGTGCTCTCGCTTTTATCATGTGCTCAAAGTCCAATCCCCTTGTTGTGTTTGCCCTTGATCTAATGTCCACATATGAGGGAGAACATACGATTTTTGGTCTTTTGGGCCAGGCTAACCTCACTCAGAATGATGTTCTCCAATTCCATCCATTTACCAGCGAATGATAACATTTCGTTCTTCTTCATGGCTGCATAAAATTCCATTGTGTATAGATACCACATTTTCTTAATCCATTCGTCAGTGGTGGGGCATCTTGGCTGTTTCCATAACTTGGCTATTGTGAATAGTGCGCAATAAACATGGGTGTGCAGGTGCCTCTGGAGTAACCTGTGTCACAGTCTTTTGGGTATATCCCAGAGTGGTATTGCTGGATCAATGGTAGATCAATGTCTAGCTTTTTAAGTAGCCTCCAATTTTTTTCCAGAGTGGTTGTACTAGTTTACATTCCACCAACAGTGTAAGAGGGTTCCTTTTTCCCACATCCCTCAGACCATTTCTTTTGTTGAACAGAAGCTTTTTAGTTTTATGAGGTCCCATTTATCTATGCTATCTCTTAGTTGCTGTTGCACTGGTTTTTTTAACTGAAAAAATAACTTAATGTCACTTGTGCTTTTGCAGACTTTTCATTAAGCTTGTTTTTACTTTCTAACACAATAGCATTGTTGGATGTCATTTTGCTTTCTAATGCCTCATGCTACCTAATGTAGTAATTACCTAATGTAATGCTATCTGCACTCAAGTATAGATTGTCCCTAGTGTATTCCATGCTGTGTTTGAATAATAATGTACACTTGACACTTCAACACATCTGACTCATGATTTCTAATGATGCATTGCATTATGAAAGTCAGCATCACCTCTCCTAACAAATTAGATTATAATTGTTTGTATTCCCAATATCTCTTAATATTCTTTTTAACTTTCCAGAACAAATGTAAACAAATGAACGTATATAGAACTTCTGGATGCTAGTCAAAGCAAAGGATACTTTTTTCCCCTTTATATAAAGTTTTGCCTCTTGAGTCCTTTTCAGAAGAATATTTCCTACTCCCTTTTAAGAACATAAGAGTTTTGACAGAAGTAATTTAAACATTGCAATGGTGGACCTTTAATGTGATGAAATGGAAGTGTTTTGAGAATTCTCAAGCTAAAGAAACAAGACTAAATGACTTACAGAGGTTAACAATATGGGAGAAGGAAACCTATTCTAGGAAAATCGTGGCAGTAATGAGGTTTTAAGATGCCATCTCTGTCTTCATATTCCCTCCTCTCATCTTAGAGATATTTAGGTCATTGTTGAGGATAATTTTGAGATAACAAAGCAGTAAAAATTGTGTGGCATAGTTCTGTCTCTAAATGCCATTAGTTTGAAAGTTTGTATCATATGTATCAGTGACTATTTAGCTCCTAGGTTAATTTTAGGTTTTTCTGTTTGTTCATTTGCTTTTTTGGCAATAGTAGGGTTTGCCCTGGTACTAGGGTTTGAACTCAGGTTAGCACTTTCTAGATAAGCACTCTAACACTTCAGCCATGCATCTAGACCCTTTAGCTTTAGTTATTTTTCAGATAGGGTATCATTGTTTTTTTGCCCAGGGCTACCCTAGACTGTGATCCTCCTACCTAGATGGAATTATAGCCATATGCCACCATGCCCAGCTTGTTTATTAAGATTTCATCTCACTGTCTTTTTGTCTGTGCTGGCTTCAAACTATGATCCTCTTGATCACTACTTCCCACATAGCTGGGATTTACAGATGTGTACCACCATGACCAGCCAACTCCTGGATATCTATACCAAGTCTTATTCCAAATATGTAAACATGGTAATCAAAATTTAAGGACTTGTCTACATTGGCAGATGAACATAAGACAAACATAGTAAATATGTAACTTACATTTTCCTAAAAAATTAGTAGGGTAATAAGATGAGAGAGATTCATATACTGTATGTTTATGACATTTGGAACAGTAACTGTGAGGTCAGAAATTCTGCTGAAGAAAAAGTCTGACCTTTAAATGCCACCATAGAACCCTTATTTTGGAACTTTTTTTTTTTTTAGACGAAAACAAATATCTTTAGTTACATAGCTGAACCTCTATACCAAAAGAAGATATATTAAGACAAACAAAATAATATCAAATTTAATTAGTACAGGTTTTATGTGACTTGGAAACCTTCATATGGAAATGAAGACTGAAAGAAACTGATGAGCTGGTTTAGGTGTGGGAAAATGAGAAGGTATCTGTTATGATTTGGATCTTAAATGCCCCATATGCTAAAGCATTGTTACCAGACTGTGGTACTGTTGAGTTGATAGAACTTAGTGGAAGGAAGTTACGTCATTGAGGTGTCTGCAGCCTTGAAGGGATATTAAGACCCTAGCCTCTTTCTCTCTCTCTCTCTTCCTCTGCACCCCCCTCTCTCTCTCTTTGCTTCCCAACTACCATGAAGCAAGCAGCTTTACTCTACCACGTGCTCCCTGTCATGGTGTTCTCCCTTGCTACAGGCCCAAAAGCAGTGGAACCAGTTGAATATGGCTTGATATCACAAGCCAAAATAAATCTTTATTTCAGTTTTTTTTTAATTTTATCATTATTACATTTACTTACATGCCTATACATTATTTAGGCCACCTCCCCCCACACACTTCCAGGCAGAACCTGTTCCACCCTCTTGTTCTCTGATTTTGTTGAAGATAAGACATAAGAGATAAGAAAAACAGCATTTTTTCTAGTTTGAAATAAAAATAGCTATAGATTCCTAGCATTGCTTTCACTTACATATGTATTACAACCCGCATTTGTTCATCTGTACCAGACCTCTTCACTACTTCCTGGTCCCCTTCCCATAGTGGCCTCTGCCAGTTTAACATTATTATATGGAATATTCTTAAAGGGAGGATGTTTCATTTGTTCATTGTCCTGATACCTAACCACAAAGAAAAACATCTTCAAGAGACTGTTTTTCTTAATATGAAAAAATTTATATAACTTAAAAGATTTTCTTAAACAATCCAGGCATTTTTTTACTGTAACTGAAATTATAAAATCCCATATTAAAAGTTTCTTTGGCCTCTACTGTTTCCTCTCATAGTTATTAGACAGAAATTATAGTTTGTTGATATGTCATTGAGCAAATAATAATAACATTGAAGTTTTCTCAGACTTCTAATTAAATCTTAATCTGACATAATGCATTTGTGACATTATTAGTTGAGCATTTTTTATGTGTCTTTGTTACTGAGCCAAGCAGCCTTTATGATAACTTTGAGTCAATAAAGGAGTGAATTTTGATTACAACTTTTTAAAATTTTTTATTTTTCACATAAATAATATATCCTTTGTAATCTTTATGCCCGTGTTACATGGTAATGCTTAAACTATTTGGGATAATGTTTTTAAAACAATTGTTTTTATAGAAATTACTGATTGAAGATGAAAAATTGATTTATTGAGTAAGACAGACATGAGTGATTTTTGTCTCA